GGCTTGAGCCTAGGTGCTTGAGGCCCGCGCCTTCAACGAGTGGCTGGTACACCGACGCCGTGGGCCGGCTGACCGAGACGGTGAACCGCCGCCTGCCGCAGCTGAGGTACGCCCCAGCGGAGCGGGCGGGCGTGCGCCGCGCCGTGAGGGACGTGGCGGCGGGACGGAACACCCAGGAGTCGGGCCTGTTCTAAAGCAAACATGGAGGAGAGGCGCGAGTTCGGCTTCAGAGTGAGGCCCAACTTCGGCCAGGTGCTGGGCTACATCCAGGAGGGGGGAGCCCATCACCCTGGAGCTGCCGAAGCGCAATGTGTCGGCCTACATGGCCTCCCACTTCCACCTCGACGATTTCCCGCAGAGCTCCGAGCCCCTCAGCGACCAGCCGATGCCGCACACCGAGGCCTTCGAGCAGGACGAGGGCTACCTGGGCCGGCCCTTCCCCCCGGGCCCGCCCAGGGAGATGCTGCGGCAGAGGAGCTTCTTCAGCGACAGCAGCAGCGACTTTGGCGGGGTGGACCCGGCCCAGGCGCTGCGCATGGACGGCTTCGACGCCTCCGCGCCCGCGCTCGGGGACAGCTGCGGGAGTCGGGCATCCAGGCCGCCGAAACGGCGATCGCCGGGCTCGGGCGCGCAGGGCGCCGCCTACCAACTGCCTTGGCTGCGGGGAGCAGTGGCTGGACAGGACGCTTCGCATTCCTAGGACGCCGGAGGGGCTGGCGCCGCCGCCCGACGAGGCGGCCGTGGACCCGCAAATCATAGGTCGGCCCAGCGAGGTGGAGCCGCTGCTGGAGCGCGCGGGGCAGCGGGCCGCGCTGCAGGAGGCGCGGGCGATCCAGGACATAGAAGCCTTCACCCAGGGCCAGATGGCCGAGGCCGAGGTCGAGGGCTTCGCGAGCGCCGCGGAGGCGGCCGCATCGGGAGCCGAGGCGGCATCCTGGCCAGCGCCGGCGAAGCCGCGCTCGGGGTTGCGGGGGGGCGGCGGGCGCCGCGGCCGGAGGGCTCGCGGTCGCAGGCGCGGCAGCCGCGCTGGTGGGCACGGCCTGGGCCATCGAGGGAGGGCTCACGGCCGCGAGCCACCTGATGGGCTTCCCGGGCGGCGGGGGCGGCGGCACCGACAGCGACCAGAGCCGGTCCAGCGGCGCCGTTGACATCCAGACCCTGAACGGCATGCAGGAGTCGGGGGTGCAGCAGCACTTTGCGATGCACCAGCAGCGCCAGCGGCCCGAGCCCAGCCGGCGCCGCGGGTCCGCGCCAGGGCGGCGAGGCAGCAGCCCTCGCCCTTCGGGATCAACCCAGTGCGCCTGCCGCGGCCGCAGGGCCAGTCCAGCGGAAGCGAGGGCTCCAGGGCGAGCCGCCAGAGCCGCCCCCTGAACGCCGAGCCCTCGTTCGACCAGCGGAACTCGCCTGACGCTAGGAGGGAAAGCACTCCGCGGCGAGCCATGGAGAACGTCACCCAGGCCGTCCAGGATGAGCTCATGGGCTCCCTGGACTACAAGCTGGCGACCTCGAACGTCAATTACGTCCAATCCAGGCGCGACGTCCAATATTTTCCATCCTCGTTGAGTACCTTCACCCCCACCACCAGCCGGGTGGCCAGAATCCCGCTGACCAGCGGCATGGATTTCATCGACCCCGAGAGCGTGAAAATCGCCTTCCGGGTGCGGAACACCGACGGAGGCGGCGGCCAGGTCTTCCCCGGCTCCTTCGAGGGAAACTGCTTCATCAAGCGCGTCCAGCTCTTCAGCAACGGGCAGCGGACGGATGACATCTCCGAGTACGGCCGTTGCTGCTGGCTCTACAGCCTGCTCAAGCCGCAGGAGTGGTACAACGGCCGGGCCTACGAGGGCTTCTACCCCACGAACTTGGGCAACCCGCCCGCGATCCTGGACGGCAACTATAGGGACGTGCTCATCCCGCCCACGCTCATCGGGCTCTTTCAGTCCGGGAAGATGCTCCCGCCGCAGCTCAACCTGGTGCTGGAAATCGAGTTCGCGGAAGCCGCGGACGCGCTCTGGCCGGGAGGCACCGGCTCCGCGAGCTACAGCATCGAGAACGTGCGCGTGCTGGCCTCCCAGGTGACCCTGGACTCCGCGCTGGTGGAATCCTTCAACAAGGTGCTCCTCAGCGGCCGCAGCCTCGTGTTCTCGTATCCCACGATGCACACGCAGGTCTCCTCGATCCCCGCCGGCACCTCGCAGCACAGCGTCACGGTGGCAAGGGCCTACACGAAGCTCATGGGCGCCTTCGTCACCTTCAAGGACGACGACGACGCCCTGGGCGAGGTCATGAATCTGGAGTACCCCGCGGTCAACGGGCAGCTGGAATATCAGATGCAGCTGGGCGCGCTCCAGTTCCCCAGATACCCCATGGCCAGCCTGGCGGAGCACCACCACTTCTTGGAGATCATGGCAGGGACCTACGACTCCAAGATCAAGAACATGCGTCTGAACCGGCTGGAATTCGAGGACACGCAGTTCATCGCCGCGTTCCCGGTGGAGCGCGTGCCCAAGCACCCGCTGAGCGGCATCTCCACGCGCTCCGGCGACCTGGCGCGCTTCACCTTCAAGAATCTGCAGCCGGACCGCGCCCAGAAGCTCTACATCCACTTGATCAGCTACCAAATCGTGACGCTCTCGGGCGCCGGCGTCTCCGTGCTGGACTAAGGAAACCATGAGCCTCTTCACAAGCACCATCACCGGCCGAATCTTAGAAGATGGAGGGACCACCGAGGTCAGCGGCATCACGGCCGGCCAGCTGGCCACCGTGCTGACGGCTTACACGCCGCCTCCATAGCGGCCAACGCCACGGCCCCGCGGCCAGCAGCGAGGCCGCCGTGACGGCACTGCAGGCGCAGGTGGCCGCGCTGCCCCCCGCCGCCGGACCTCGCGCCCTACGCCCTGGCCGCCGACC